CATGAAAGACGCGCGTCGACATCTGCCGCAAAAATCGAACGATTTGATTTTGAACTAGAATTTCTTTTATTTCGCAGCTTACATTGACCGGCCAATCTTCGACAGAGGAATATTGCTTCCGAATACCCTCACTTAATCGAAATTGCCTATCATCAAATGTGGACAGCACATTATTAAGCATGGAAATGTCCCCGAAATACTTTTCGCGTTTGTCGAATCCCACGCGATGTTTGACGCGACTACGACGCTATGACCTTTGTTTGTCCTGTTTTTACGTTCGATTTCACGCATAACGCGTGATTCTCGCAGTGTACGGAAAATGGTCTATTGCTAGCCTTTTCTGTGCAACTGTCAGTTGTTGTGATAGAGTGTTGCTTTAGCCCTGGTTATGTGTTCTCTATTTTAAATGCTTATACTTTAAATTGTTTGAATTTTCGCAATTTCTGCATTTTATGGCATACTTGCAATAAAAATTTTGCGTAGTCACTGACATTTCATTTTGTAACAAATTATAAAATTCTACCATTTTTACTGACTCATAACATTTTCGAAAACTTTTCACTTGAAGTGGTTTGCAGTATCTAAGAATGAAAAGAAGAAAAATTGAATTTTGACCTATCAGGATTCTATTATTCCTTTTTATCGGTAGTTAGCCATTAGTACAGTAACTGTATTCCTTTCTTTCTATCCAGTTCTCTGGAGTCTCGGGTCCTGTTTCAGTAATGCTTTAGTTGCATCATTGTTTTGCTGCTTTTAATTAGCAGAGTTCATTTTTTGACAGCTGATGTGAAAATGAAACCTTCATAATAAATTGTATTAGCTGGTATGCTTTCATTTTTCTCTTATTATTGCACAATCTGTCAAACCATTAGTGGATGAAAAGCTGTTTCAGAATGTTTTGTTCCAGAGAGGTAACGAATCAAATTAGAATAAGGTACTGTAAATTTGGAGCACCATTGAGTCATCCCACTGCATAGTGTTCGCATCCCAGGCTACGTGTACATTGAAAGTACATTGTTTACATAGAATTTAAACATGTGTTGCATGACTACTATGGTGCTTAGGAATTATGAACAGTTGGTGTAAAAGTTAAATTGTAGCACATGTTTAATATAGTGATGTTGTTTCTATTTTACCTTGCCCATAGATGAAGAGAAATACTGTGGAATACTTTATTTTCACTTGGAATTAATTTTTGCTGAAGGAATGATTTAGTGAAAATAAAATCCAGCGAATATACCTTTTTCCTATATTTTACATTCAACTTGTCAAAAATCCATGAAAATAAATTCCATACAAAACACCAAAAAACTCTATTCAGCGAAAATTAAATCCAGTTATAAAATAAAGTATTTTACAGTATATACAATGTATGAGATGAAAATGTTGTCTTTATTCTAGTCATCTCCAGCACAAACTTTTTTTTTTCAATATATTGATGAAATTTTACTAAAAATTATCCTCCTTTTTTGGTTACAATAGCTAAAACAATTTTGATCTAATTTTACAATTACAATTAAAATAAAATGTCTATCAAGATATTGGTTAAAACTTGGGCAAAATAAAACATTTGTTAAACTAGAAATAAGTTTTCATAATGAAGACATTTATATACTGCTTATCATGAGAACCAGGTGTTAATAATTGTTAATTGAGAAACATAAAAAAAAATTAATTGTTTATGTAACCACTGATGACCACATTGTTCGTGCATTTATATTACATGTACTCTAATTTTTGCCTTGTGTATGTGTTTTAGTATATTTTCTCTCTATTAAACTTTTATTTATTTATTTGTTTGTTTGTTTGCAGTATCTCACACACGTTTGAACTGGTTAGGTTCAAACTTCTCACATACATCAGACATATTAAATCAGACATATGCACATACTGTTTTGGAGTGTAACGTAAACTTACAAGCATGATATTGTGCTTCTGCGTGTACCAATCAACTTCACAAAAATAAAATTCCCTTCCATCGACTATCAGCTAACTGCCATGACAAAGTATTTCTGCACTCCACCCCCGCTTATTCCAGGAAAGTTGTCTACTGTGAATTCCCCACTTACCCCCCTGTGGGTTCCTCACTATCATACATCTCTACATTTATACATCATCCCTAAACACAACACAACTATGGAACTTTATGAATTGAGTGTGGTTTAAATATTGTATATTTTATCTTGATTTCTAGGTGTAAGTTATTGTGTTGTTGTGCTGGCTTTGATGAAAATTCGCAGACAGCGTTTAGTGATGCTGCTGAATTGATGACTGGGTTTTTCAAGGTAAAAAAATTATATTGTTGATGAATTATCAGTATTCACTTTATATATATATATATATATATATGCTGGCATTTTATAAAAAACACATAGATATCAAGAATTTATAAGATAATAGTATGCAACTGGTTCGATATGTGATAAATAAGATCTCAAAATCATAAGACAACATATGAGTGCAGAAGAAGTGGTTGGTTTTCATCTCAGATTTTTCTTTTTTGTGTCCTTTACAGAATGTGTATCACATGTTACTTGCCTTTTTGAATAAGATGATATTTCAGTTTATTTCTGTTTACACAATCAAATCATTCCCAGCATTCTGTGATGCTATTGGAATGAAATAAATTTGATATTATATCTACTGTCCCTGTGTGATAGAAGGATTACACATGGAAATCATGCAAAATCATTGTGCATGGATAATAGATTTGCATACACTTATTTTTTTTCAGATTCTTGTGCCAGGTGACAGATCCATCATTAAATGTCACTGTAGTCTTTCCTGACTTTTTTTTTTAATTTGCAAATTGCAAGTGCTGACATACATGCATAGTGCATTTTTCACAGAGACCATATTCCAGTTTGGGACGATGTGACTTTCTATCATAATGTGCAATCCTGGCTTCAACCAGACCAGGGCAAACACAACCTGTGAGCTTTAACCAAGTTTCCCCCGTAGTTGGATTTAGCCTTCCCATAGAGTCTGTGGCACACCCACCCAGGGTAGGGGGGTCTATCGTTTTTGGTGTTCAACCTAAGGTACATGTAGGTTTGAACTTGGGTCTGCCAATCATCAGTCTAATGCAACAACCACTATGCTACTGGTGACCGGTACACTTATCTAATGCATTCTCACATATATATAAATATTATATTTATCAAATATAATATAAATTTCAATTTGATATAAATATACATAATTGAATGTGTTTTTTTGCAGGGTACTGATATTGTGCCTTCAGATATTGCTGCTGGCCTTGCTTTAATACAGTTGGAACAACAAGCTCAGGAACAAGTTGGTAATGCATCATCACCACCAGTTACTACAGATTATCCTTGTCTTCGACGTCCTCCTATCTCACCCTATATCGATATACAAAATGTTGCTTATTACATGAAATATGCAGTGGCATCATATGGATGGCCTTTATACGTCTACTCTAATCCCTTGTGCGGCACATGTCAACTTTTTAAAAACTGCAGGTGAGCTCATTCATTCTTACTTCATAATATATGGTAAGGTTCATGAGCACCAATTGTTTCTTCTTTTGATTATCTATTGAGCAGTTCAACTTTCATATTCTTTCACCAAATAAAATTGCACAATTTGTTTAAACTATAATACATAATAGATAATATTTGGTAATTGTTGTCCTTAAAACAACTATTCATAATAGCTATTTATTTTTAGTGATGGCTATTCATTTGTAACATTTGATAAGATGTTCATATGACAATATTTAAACATATAAGCAGAAAATAAGAACACACATGTATGAACATGTATAACAGCTACAATAGAACATGACTTGTATACACTCACTACGTTGTAAGTACAAGGTATAAGTTGAATAGTTTGTTGGTCCTCGTTCTGGCAAAGTCCGAAAATGGAGACTATTAATTTGGGTTTCGTCCGTCCGTGGCATACAGACAATGTAAAATGACCTACATATGCATGCCAATTTTCGTTATGATTTGATTAAATATGGCTGACTGGCAGCCATTTTGTTCCTCAAATTTGCTAAATTCTGATATTTAAACGTGTCAGGAACTGTTTGTGTGGTGATCATATTGGGTTATAGGTGCATGTCACTATTTTTTTGAGATTTGGTCCAAGATGGCCAACTGGCATTTACATCGACTACAGCTAAACTGGGACTATGCATTATCAATGCTTGTTAGTCCCCGTTCGGACGCAGTCCGAAAACGGGGACTTATGTTTTGCCCTGTGTGCGTCCGTCCGTGCGTCCGTGATCACCTGTATCTCGAACATGCATGGACCAATTAAGTTCAAACTTCACTCATACATCACACATTATATGGGACATATGCACATGCATTTTTTTCATGATCCGATTAACGATAGCCGAATAGCGGCCATTTTAAGGCCGAAAATGCATCAAAATCGCACATTTTCACCATTCCGGACCCGGATCTCAGTTATGCATGGACGGATTTTGTTCAAATTTGGTACATACATTAAACATAATAGGACCTTGATGCACGTCATTTTTTTTTTGGGATCGGGTTCGAAATGGCCGACTGGCGGCCATTATGTTTTAAAGAATTCAGTTCTGGATCCGTATCTGAGACATGCTTGGATTGATCGAGTTCAAACTTCACACACACAAGGTACATCATGTCACAAATATGTATGTGCATTTGTTTTATGATCTCATTAACGATAGCCAAATGGCGGCCGCTTTAAGGCCGAAAATGCATTGAAATCGCACATTTTCACCATTCCGGACCCGGATCTCAGTTATGCATGGACGGATTTCATTCAATTTGGTACATACATTAACATAATAGGACCTTGATGCACGTCATTTTTTTTTAGCTCCGCTGTCGACT